AACTCCCAGCACAATGGCCTGTCAGACTGGCAGGGTTTTTCAACCTCAGCACTACTGACTTTGGGCCAGATAATTCTTTGTTGTGGAGGAATGTCTATGCATTATAGGATGTTCAGCAGTATTCCTGACCTCCACCAGTCTTTAGATACCAGTAGCATCTCTCCATAGCTCCCAGCTTAGTGTGTGACAATTAAAAATGTCTCCAAACACTGTCAATTCTTTCTGTGTTAGAGTAACCAGGGTAAGATCTCAGTGAGAATCCTAGTGTCAGGGAAAAGCTATAGAAGACAATAAAAAGTGGTAGGAGCTGATAGAAAAGGAGTTCAAGAAAGAAAACCACATAAACAAAATGAGACCAATCAATGGAAGACACTTAAAGTCAGATAGTGGGTTCAGACTTGAGGCAATAAATGAAAGAGGGGTTTCTAGACTGCTGTCCTGCCCTGAAAATGGCTGGGTGTGGTGGCTCATGCCTGTAATCCTAGCACTTTTGGAGGATTGCTTGAGCCTAGGAGCTCAAGACCAGCCTGGGCAACATAGCGAGACCCCATCTTAACAAAAAATTAGCTGGGTGTGCTGGCGTGCATCTGTCGTCCTAGCTATTCGGGAGGCTGAGCTGGGAGGATCACCTGAGCACAATGGTTTAAGGCTGCAGTGAGCTATGATCATGCCACTGTACTCGAGCCTGGGTGACAGGGCGAGACCCTGTCTCTCAAAAAGAAAAGATAAAAAAATAAAAGTAAAAATGATGATTAAAAATCTATGCTCTGGTGGTACGGTAGAATGGAAGATGGAAAACCGGATTAAAAGCAACCAAGAAAGAGGAGGAAAAACTGCTGTAAATAATTTTGGTTTGAATTAAGAAAGACTCAAACTAAATAGTAACAGTAGGAAAACAATAGGAGTGGGAAGTAGAAAAAAAATTCGAAGTGAAAAGTTCTAAAGGGTTTGATGAACAACAGGATATAGCTGATAAAGAGAAAGAAATCCTTTTCACTGGTTTATCAACTCTGGAGAACTTTCTTTAAAAACAAAACAATGGCTATTATCTTCTGATAATACATGTTTCATTTTAGAATAGTTGAAAGTGACAAAAAGATACAACATTAAGTTACCTATAATTTCTCTAATAATATGTAAACGCTGCTAAAATTGATTTATCTCTTTCTAGTTTTAAATATACATTTACAGCTTTTATTATACTTAATATATGGTTCTGTATACTTGTTTTCACTAAACAATGCACCACGAGCATACCATTACAAACTCTTTATATAAGCATTTTTTAAATGGCTAGATAATATTCTGAGTACATTCTATTTTTATCATTTTCCTATATTTGGATATTTATATTGCTTCAAAATTTTAACTACTGCAAATAATGCCTTAATAAATATGTTCTGACTATCCAGTTTTTAATTATTCCCTTACGATTAGAGTATTAAAATGGAATTACTGGGTTCGAGGATACATACATTTTCTAAGGCTTTTGAAGCAAATATCCTACTAGGTAATGCATATAAGGTACTCTGCCCAGAACTTGGGCCACAATCAGTACTGGACAAATGTTAGCTTTAGTAATATTGCTAAAGTGGTTTCCAGAATATTTTTGCCAAGTTATACTCCCACTGTCTATGTATGAGAGTACCCCACATCACATTTTCAATGAGTATTTTCACTATTTAAGTCTGAGCTAATTCAATATGTTAGAAATCATATCTCGTTTTGATTTTGTTTGATTTTTCTTATGACTACCGGTAAGATTGACTTTTTTATTTCATCTGTTTTATTGGCTATATGTATTTTCTCTTCAGGGGATTATCTATTCTTCATGTCCTTTACCAATACTAAGTACATTCCTTATTTATTAGTATGAATCTGTCATATTATAAACAGATCCTCTACCATATTTTGTCATGAGTTTGTGTTTAAAATAGGCATCTCCATTTAAATTGGGTGACTGCCTTATGATGTTCATGTGACTTAAGAAATTTCCTTGTTTTTTTTAAGGTACCTATTTTGCCAAGGTACCAAGGAGTAGTATTAAAGTGTCTCTCTTAGAGGAATAAGTAGGTATGTTAAAAATTCTTAAACACAACTAAGCACCAAACAAAACCACCAAAAGAGTGATTTTCTTTGTGCATTGTCACTAATAAATTTTAACTCTAGGCATTTTACATCCTAAGCAGACAACTTATCGATAAGAAAGAGAATAACATTAATTTCCTCCTGGGAATGCTATAATGTCTAGAAGTTCTGTTGAAATTGAAAAGGTAAAGAAGTTTAACTTTGTTTCCCACTTTGAAAGCATACTAATTTTAAATAGTGCAAAAAACTCAGTACATCTTAATCATCCAACAAAAAAAGTTGGGGGGAGAGAGGGAATTACAAAAAAAGTTACAGGTAGAATAAACCCTTGAAAAACCATTCACTAAAATCAAAAGAAGCCCACTTTACCTGCAAGGCCTGGAGATGGCACTGATGAATTTGGTGATTGGACCGTTCTGTTTGAGGGTGGTCTTGGCTGGCCATGATCTGTACTGGTATCTTTCCTCGCAATATTGTCCAGCATAATAGTACTTGAACAGTCAATCTTACAAGAAAAGAAATTATTTCAGGACACTCTGACTTTGCAAATTGAAAGCCACTTTAAATTTTTAAGAAAACTCCAATAACAATTATTACCAAATAATAAAACACAAATATCTCCTTTGAAAAGTTCTAATGGATATTTTTCCCATGAATAACCTCTAATATAAGTTTTCACTCTTCTTAGTGAATATACCTTAGTAAACATACTGAAGATACAATATTTCAGAAATCAAGAGTTAAGATAAAGTTATATTGTATGTCATTCACACTGGTAAAAATAAAAATAAAAATTTTTAATTTCTTAATTCATTTAAAAATAACAAGATACCTGTATGAAAAAAACAAACTTGGTGAAAAGAATAGCATAATTTTCCATACTTGCAAATCTCTTTAATGTCTCCCTAAAGAGCAACTGAATGGATTCTTATATCTGCTTCTGCATTCAATCTATTGTAATGCGTGGTTTTGGTTCAAGAATATGAAGGAAATCTGGCCTCACATAGATAGGACCTTGTGAAGCCTCTGAAAGGGTTGCAAGAATTCCCAAGTCCTTGGCTTTTCATATTCACTGGATAGATGAAGTAAGTCTATATACAAGGTCTCTATGGAAAATATACAGCCATGTAATATGAAAATTGACATTTACTGAAGAACATACAAGATACAACAAACATTGCACTTAGGACAGTGACACTCCAAACCCCTTCAAAGTAGGCACCTTGGCACCTCGCACAGTTCTCCCAGCATCTCTTAACCTGTACACATTCAACATTCTCAGGGATTCTGCTTATTGCAGGACTTCCAGAACATGATCACTTTCAACAGATTCTCAACCATCTTTGAAGCATTTGTGCACAGTTTGTGTTGCACTCATTGCATCATCCCCGAAAGCCTTCTGAATCATCAGAATAGTTTCCGTGGAGGAATGTTTGAGCTTAATGCAAAATTTGATGCAGATTCGTTGCTCTACTCGCTTGGCCATTTTTAATGCAACAGCCACACAGTACACGTGCTGACTCAATAGCATCTAGGGCCCCACTAACTAGTACAGTGAAGTCCATGCATGTGCATCCCAGTCTACTCTCCTTGGCTGCCAAGTTACATCCATGTCATGCAAACCATTCTATTAACAACGGCTGGAAACTTTCTGGACAGGCCTTGTGTAACACCTATCTAGAGCACTAATCTCACTAAGTATATTACTGTTGTTTGGTAGGAAAAAAAGTAAACCCTTACAGATTCTTGCTTTGATGTAACAGGTATACAAATAACACTGCTTTCCTAATTCATTGCCAAGGTAAAATGCTGGTGAATTTCTAATGAGTAAGAGTTTAATGCTCTAGATGCAAATATTCTTTAATGCACAAATACCCCAAGTTTCCCCAAAATATCTTTGTGATTAAAATTCGGTTCAATTCTCTAACATAGTTCTAGCCTTTCTCAACTAGGACTCTATAAGAGAACTAAGTCCTATAAGCCCTAGGGCATAGATTGTATACAATGAATTAATCTTTTGCCTACACATTTAGAAAAGTGCTATTTATGAAGCATCTTTGAGAAAATTGTCACTCAAGATCAGTTTATTTTGTGATTCAGACGAGGAATTTCAGGTCAAAAAGGCTGGTAGACAAAGAATCACTTATATAAGGAGTGCAGAGGAAAAACTAAAGAGATTTTTACTTTCTGTGGGTTTTCTTTGGTAGGGGGGAGAGGTAGCGTAGCAGAGTGTTAGTATACAGGGTCATTTACGTTTTAATATTCTTTTGATAATACTTGGCCAATACTTTTCAAAGAGTACAAAAAGTTCTAGAATGACTGGATTTGTTAGATCTTAAGATAAAGAAAGTTATTTATATTGTGGAGTCATCCTAAAAACTAAATAAAACTGTGGGGATTAGACATAAATTTTCCTACATCAAAAATACATGTACCCTCCCCATTTAAAGTATATAAAACTATTAAAAAATGAAATGACTCTGGTAAGATTAACAATGCAACTATTAGGAAATACTAGTTGACCTCAACTTGAAAAACAAATAAGGAAAATAAAGAAGTTCTTTCACAATCTTACAGGTTATCCCTTCCAAGTAAAGTATACAAGATATTTCTTAAAAGCTTTTTAAGGTTAAGGTTGTAAGTGTGTGTGTGCATGAGAGTGAGATCATCTAACCTTCTAGGATGAGAGAAGGCAAAACAAGGAAACAACTTAGGTATGAAGATCTGTCTACAGCATGTAATATTTTCTGCCTTTGGAAAATATTTTTTTTTTAAAGTCATACTGACAAAGAGTTTAGAGAGTGAATACATTATTTAATTTAAATATAAATTAAACCAGAGGTAATTTTGCACTGGTCAGTATGATCTCACAGAAAAGGTTTTGATTTTTACTATTAAATTTGTCTTCATCTCTTCTGATGTCTTAATTTTTAGCCTCCTTCTCTGACCTTACTCAATGTAACATATTCCAGCCATTCAACTTTCCAGTACATCTTCCCATGTCTCTACTTCCCTTCTTTCCAGTTTAGAGTCCACGATTTCTCACCATAAACATTCATTTACAAACATCTTTAACTCCAGTGCCCTGAAAGACATTTTATTGTATGTCTAAGTGTTCATGATCTTTTTATTAGTGTCATAATATTTCTAAAGGATAAAAATTAACTCGTAAAAATAAACAACCTATAATCTAATAAACCATGCCTTTTACCAGCTCCAAATTCACTGACAATTTTTAAAAGAGACTGTTTAGCATAAATTTTGTGTATACTTACATCTGGGAGAGAGGGAAGATTGTAAGAACCTCCCACTGGTGAGCTCAAATCGATCATAGGTGAACCAAAAGCTTTCCCATCATACCCTGCTGCACTAGTAATGGTGGGGCTAGAAGGTGTGGAGGGCGTGCTGCTGGCAGTTGATGGGGGAGCCTGTCCACTGCTGATCTGCCACTATAGTAGCAAGAAGGGAAGGGAAAAGGTTATTTACCAATAGGCGTATAACATAAAACACCTGCCTAACCACTCTTTCACACACAAAATGAAGAAGACATATTCTGCTATTAATATTTGAATTCAACTGTAATTTAAATGGAAGGAAAGGAAGAAGGGGAGGGAATACACAGGTATATATAATTTTCATTTATCTGCCTCCCCCCAAAAAAACACTGATTTTTTTACTGGAAGAAAAGTGTATATAATAAAGAATCACAGTACCCAATCTTGGAAAGGTTTATATGTACTGGAAAAGAAATATAAACATAGACAGGCAACTTCAAGGTAAAGATGGAGGTTTGAAAACAGACATTTTCTTCTATCCCTATCTGAAAATAATAAGCCACAGACCAAGGCTTTCAGACTTTTATACTCCTCTTTCTCACACATGAATAGATAACTAAGCCTTAATAACCTCTTCTGAGGAAAGTACTGTCATTCAGACTAGATGCTGAGATAAACATATTAAATAAGATGATGTTAGGCATGCTGAAGTATACAGAGGTGAAGCATGCTGCTACCTGCAATTACTTCAAAACCTATCAAAAAATACAATGCCTTGATGAACAGATAAATAGGTATATGGATATTATATAATAAGGCAAGTAAAGCAAATTATACCCTACATAATTCTTTCAATTTTGTTGCAATTGAAAATTTTCATAATAAATTGTTGGGGGAAAGAAAAGCAATTAAGAGGTATTTCAAGACTATGTAAGGGGGAAGATTTCCCAAACACATTGTCATTTATATATGGATGGCACTATATAGAGTGATAGTGTCTGAAATATTTTAATTTTGAAAAATCTAACATATATTCCATTGTAAAAACTATATACGGAAACTGATAAAGTTGGACATGTCATCTTTACGACCTATCCACTCCTCATATTCATCACCCCAAACCCTCCCTTCCTCCTCCTCTACCAAGAATAATCAGTAGATATCTTTCCACATTTTTTCTATGTACATGAGGTTGCAAAAAATGAGATCAATACCTCAAAAAAAAAAACTCTAAATCATGGTTTTTTCCCCACATAATATACTTAGAAAATCAGAGATTACTTCATTTTCTTAATACCTAAAAAGTATTCCCACTATATAAGCATACTATAATTTGATAACTAATCGACCAATTAAAACCAATTTCTCACTATATTTTCCCATGCTCTGTTCATTCATTTATTCATTCCTATTTGGATTTTTAGCCAACGAACACTTTAAAAAACACTTTCAGAGTGTCTACCCCTTTACAATATAATAAATGGGGAAGAGGTAGACACTTGAGTACCTATAATGTGCCAGGTGCTCTTATATACATTAGCATGAACTCTCAGCAAAGTACTCATTTTATAGTTGTGATCAGTGAGATTTAAAAAGAATAAACTTGCCCAAGGCCACAAAATTATTAGGGAAATAAACAGAATTTAAGGCCAAACTATAGCTTGGACTCTTTTTACCTCACTTCTAATGATGAAATAATAGGTATGAATTTTATTAAAAATAATTAAAATATTGAAGAAAATTTGGTAATAACATATAAATAGCAAAGCCAAACATACAGGCACAGAGAGCATGCATATTTTTACAGTAAAATTTTCAAATGTTTTGATTAAAATGAACATCACAGGC